CCGAGGACGAGGTGGAAGTACCCCTTACCCAAAACTGGGATGTAATTATTATTGAAAACACAGATCAGGAGCCTCTGGATGCTTCCGACTCTCAGGATGCGGTTGAGCTGGTTCTACGAGGCGTGTTTGCGCCTGCTACAGTGTCAACCCAAACGGAGCCTATTGGAGCTGACTATGGCTCCCTTGAGTGGAGCGATTTTCCATTGGGGAGGACCACTTTCTCGTACCCTTTCTCACTTTCACACCTTCGCGCACAAGCAGTCGTTAGGACGCACAAGTGAATGGGGGTTGAGATTAGAGTTCGTGGGTATGCGGGTTCACTTTCTCGTACATTTTCTCAAACGATAAGGATCGGTCCGAACATTTGGCGAGAATATTTACAAACCAAATAAAACGAGGGGGTTCCATCGGATATCATGTGCACTGATTATGAAATTTGTATGTGAATGCATTTGGAAAAAATTCACCTGATTATAAAACCGTTAAAAACCCATTGCTCCCGTATATTCAAGCTACTAGAGTTCGAAACCGAGATTAGTACAAAAATTCAATTGGCCCAGGAAAAAAGCTTAGACCAAATAAACAAAAACAGGACTTACAAAAGTTATCAGGTCGGTGACAAGCTTTTCTTGAAATCAAATAAACGCCTGGGGAATAAACTCGGAGGAAGTAATTGAAGCAGACCTTGGGACGGCAGTTCTTATTAAAGGGAGGGTGGTCCATAAGGACAATTTAAAATAACGATGCTTCTAGACCTAATTTTAAATTTGGGAGGAATTTGGGTATTTCGGACACTCCGCTAATATTACTTCATATGAACTTGACGCACTCGAAACAAAGACTGCTATTGACGCTTTTACACAGGACCACATAAGACGAATATTGACTGTGGACATCGGACGGATAGATTCTTTGGTGGGTACTTTATCATAGTTTATGTTGCATTTTCAGTTGAAGCCGTCTGCAAAATACTAAAACGAACCGATACGTCAGCACGTCCCGCTATCGATAGGATTCGGTGGTGAAACCGACTATTGATAGCGGGATATGATTTAGCTATTTAAATTTAGCCCGGTTCGCTCGTTAACTGGGTTAAATAGCCTTGAATACGTTCGCTGACCCATCTTGAGAGAGCGGGAGGGAAAATGGCGAACGACTTTGGTGTAGGTCAGGGTTTTGCTTTAGTTGCTGCAATAAGTCGTAGGAGAACAGTCGGAAAAAATAAGTTCATAAATTCATAATTAAAGTTTAGATAATTTGAAGTGAGTGATTATTTATTTGTCATAAAACTTAGAAATAACAGTGTTTTTTTAAATATTAAAGCCACCGGGGACCCTATCTAAAGGGCCCCGGAAATTTAGTGGATTCGGGAGGGTCAACACTTACCAGGCAGACCTAACTTGGTCGTCCACCAGCAGCAGCGATCCGCTCCAGCAGCAGCGATCAGCTTCAGAAGCGGCAGCGATTTGTGGCATCGGCCGCAGCAGCATTAGCAGTAGTGATCCGCCGCAGCAGCGCCAGCCGCAGCAGCATCAGCGCAGCAGCACCAGCAGCACCAGCTGCAGCAGCATCAGCCGCAGCACCATCAGCGCAGCAGCATCAGCGATCTTCCGCGTCAGCCCCATTCGGAGATTCCCGCGGTGAGTCCGTTCCGGGAACGAATACCCGCGCTGACCACCTGGTCATCTCTGGGACCACCGACGCACTGCCTCCGGGTCCTCTGGCGCAAACGCTGAGTGAATTCTCCGGACCACTTGGCTCCATGCGGACTCGCGCTGGTTTTCGCCGCTAGCGATTTTTCTCTTCTTGCTGCAGCTTCAACCACATCCGACGTTGAACTCTGCAATAAATAAGTTTTAGTCATAATTTTTGTGATATCATACAGTCAAGATTGTCAAGTACTCACTGTGAAATCTAATCTAAAATTAGCGGCTTAATTCCAAACGCTGGCCGCGCGTACAACTATAATTTTGTAGGGAGAAAGGGAGGCGTGTCCACTAGAGGTAGGACAATTGCTCCCGAGGCACAGTTCACAGGGTTTGGCTGTGATTTGGCGTTGACATCCTCTTCGAAGGAAATCGAAGGATTCGCATCCCAGGTCGTCCGTGCAATAAGCACGAAAGGTTAAACCAAAAACTGTGATAAAACTGTTATATAGGTATTAGGGACATATTTTTTTTGTTAACGTAATTTTAATGAATGTTTTGTTTTCGGGGCGTTACAGTGTAGTTGTTTGTTTTGTGCAGATCCTTCGGTTTTCTTGGTATTTGCTTTTCATATCATATCGGTTTCAAACTTAAATGTGTGGTCGTGACCCGTGACGTCCTCAGGCGCTGCTCGGCCACCGCGACTTGAATGAAAAGCGCAAATTCCAAAAGGAAATCCTACGCGATCCTGCAAACAGCCGAAGTCCTTAACTGGCGACTTTCAGCACAGCTGAAAGTTAGTTCAGTTGGCGAGAGGCTTGTTTAGTGAGAATTCGGACGAAATTGTAGACGCAAGACGACTGGCACGGAGTCTACCGGCTAGTTCGCCCCCATTTCCACTTATTTAGGCTGGAGAAAAAAATAGAGAAAGAATCTTAGTCTTGAGGGACTTGTTTTTTGTTAGGAGTTAATTATTAGTGTGAATTTGTTTAGCCTTAGGTATTTGTTGGTCGTTAACATATTTTCTTATTTATTTCTTATTTATTCATTGTTTATTGTTTCTATTTATTTATTATTATTATTTATTGGCCTGGTAATATAAGTATTCGTATTATTTAGGTGCATATTACTTAGTGGTATTTATTTATTATTTATAATTATTTACTAGCATTCAGCATAATTTATTTATTTATACATAATTGGGTTTCACATTAAATTCGGGATTTCATAAGTCGTGTTAGGGGTTACCAATATTCAGGATGGAAAAGCGACAAGGCAGCAAGCATAATCACCTGCTTCGGTAGAAGAGTTTTTCAGGCGAGGACGACCAAAAAAGATGTGGACCACGGATGTGGAGGGCGCTACCGAGGCTGGCTTGCCGCGCATATCGGAAGGGTTGCCCAGGACTCCGCTTGCCCTTTTGCGCCAGGGACTGCAACGAGAGCAGCAAGGACCACAGGACACCGAGCTGCAGGAGGACCTAAGGCAGCAGCAAATCCTGGAGGGAATTGGTTCCGCGGCGGATGAGTTGTTGCAGTTGGACGACAAGGATGCAAGACTCCACGGACCTGTTGTGGATTCCGCGGCAAGGTCGGCCGTTAATGTGGCTTTGGCAAAGGCGGCGGAGACCCATCGGAAGGCCCAACAGGGCGGGATCAATCAGGCACTGAGGGACGAGATCCGAAGTGTCTTCCTGGAATTATGAAGCTGATGAACGAGGGGTTAAGGCCTGCTGCTCAGCAGCCTCAGCTTCCCCTGGAGAGCATGCCGGATGAGCGAAGGCGTCCGGATTCAAAGATCACCGCAGGAATCCCTGGTCAATCCCCGCAAGTTGCGGTGCCGAAGAGTACACAGGTCGCCGGCATGGACGGTTCCAAGCTACCTCCGCCGAGAGTGCCACCCAAACCGCCGAGGAGGCCGCTAGATTTCCAGGAGTTGGAGAGTAGCAGTCCCGGGTATCCTCCGGATTATGGAAGGTCGCGCCAAGACGATGGCCCGGCCCGAAGCTGGTGCGTTGAGGACCGCAGGGCCTCAGAGTTTCGCGAGGAGCCAATGAGTATGCCAATGTGGGGCCGGTAGCCGCCAACCAGCAATGGCGAATTGAGCGGTGGGGCGTGTCCTTCGACGGTGAGGATAAACGAAACTCGGTGGAAGATTTTCTCTTCCGGTTGGAGTTCTTGCAGCGGCAAGAGGTGCTCCGAAACTTCCACCTGCTGCTTACTGGGCGGGCTCGGGAGTGGTACTGGGTCCACGTGCGTCACTGCAGGGTGGACAGGTGGTTCCAGCTTCGAGCTTCGCTGATGGATAGGTTCCGATGCCACCAGACGGAGCACGACCGGATGCACCAACTTCTGCAGAGGGAGCAGCAGCCCGGAGAAGGAGTTGGCGATTACATCCACCCGATGCAGCAGTTAGCGGCCCGTCTGAAAAGGCCACTGTCAGAGCGACAGTTGGTTAAGATAATTAAAAAGGGCTTGAGGGAGAGCATCGCAAGGTTTGTCTATGCGATGGATGTGCTGTTTTGGACGACGTGGACGGACCACGTACACGCAGCCGATGCGGTATTCTCCGGTGGAGAAGGTCAAGGTTAACGAGGCTATTGGCCCAGATCCTGGTGAGGATCCTCCGTGGCACGAAGTGGACGAAGTGCGGGAGAAGAATCCGTTCCGAGCCGGCTGCTGGAATTGCGGAGCCGTGGATCACGGGTTCCGTGACTGCACAGCAACAGAACGCAGACTGTTCTGCTACCGATGTGGGAAGCCAGACACCGTGTCTCCCAAATGTCCGGATTGTGCGGAAAACGGTCGGCTGGGCGATCCGAGGGCGGAGAGGATGCGTCCAGACAGGAGTTCCGCAGAGAAGAAGAACTGGTAGGGTTAGATAAATAAAGTGGATTTTTGGCAAGCATTCGGACTGGCCCGAGCAATTATATGCCACATCGATCCCGAAGGCGTGAAGAAGGCCGAAGAATTACACGCCGGGGAGATGGAGCACTACGCTGAGGTCGAGGATGAGGATGAGGAGAAAACCGATCCCGAGTCCTGGACGCTTTCCAAAGCCAAGGAACAAGAGCTGGAAGAGATCAAGCAGCAGTTCTTTACTTTCGAGAGGGATGGCTTAAGTGCCACCAGTCTGGAGAAGCACACTATTGAGCTGATGGACGGAGCCAAAGTGTTCAAGGATCGACCCTATCCGATGTCTCCCGCGAAGCAGAAGGTGGTCGAGGACGAGGTCGACAAGATGCTAGCGCTCGGAGTCATCGAGGAGAACAAAAGGCCCTAGAGCAACCGCACCACCGTAGTATCAAGATCTGGAAAACACCGGTTGTGCTTAGACGCACGTAAGCTTAATGATGTGACCATCAAATATGCTTACCCGTTGCCCAGCATAGACGATATCCTGTCCAAAATCGACCAAACGTACTACATTTCCAGCGTGGATTTCAAGTTCACTTTTTGGCAGATTGAGTTGGACACGAGCAGCAAGGAATACACAGCCTTTACGGTTCCGGGTCGGCCGCTTTACCAGTTACGTGTGATGCGTTTTGTACTCTGTAACGCATCACAGAGGCTGGTGAGACTCATGGACCGAGTAATTCCAGCTGAAATCCGCTCGAATATGTTCGTCTACTTGGATGACCTGCTAATACTAGCGCCTGACATGAGAACGCACTTGAAGTATCTTCGCCGAGTCGCTGAATGCGTGAAAGAAGCAGGGTTAACCATTGGTCTGAGCAAGTCGAAGTTTTGCTTCAAGTCTTTGACCTACCTCGGCTTCATAGTGGGTGGAGGACGTCTGCGGATGGATCCAGGGCGTGTAGCAGCTATTAGGCGGATGCCTGAGCCAAGGACCATGAAGGAAGTGACAGCCTTTCTTTGAACCGCTGGTTGGTACCGTCGGTTTATAAAGAACTTTGCGACGTTGGCAGCTCCGCTCACGGAATCCTTGAAGAAGACGGGAAATAAGAAGTTTACTTTGGGTCCAGAAGCACAGCTGGCAGTAGAGTCCTTGAAAATGGCCCTAACTACTGCGCCAGTTTTGGTACATGCGGACTTCAAGCGGCTCTTTTTCATCCAGTGTGATGCATCCCAGATCGGAGTCGGTGCAGTGTTGTTCCAGCGGGATGTAGACGGCCAGGAGCAACCCACAGCGTTCTTCTCGGCCAAGATGAATTGTCACCAAGTGCACTACACCTCGCAGCCCTGCTGGCCATTCGAAAGTTCCGGCCGTATGTGGAAGGAATGCCGTTCACGTGCATCACGGATCATGCCAGCTTGAAGTGGCTCATGTCCATGAAAGACCTTTCGGGTCGGCTGGCTCGGTGGTCATTGCAACTCCAGGGATATGACTTCAACATCGAACACAGGAAAAGAAGCGAGAACGTCGTGGCAGATACCCTTTCGCGTTGTTTTGAAGAGCTAACGGTGGACCCGTCAGAGTTGATCGTCTTCGAGACCACTGAGTTTGCTGGAGAAGAGTACACGGAGTTGTTACAAGAAGTGGAAAAAAACTTGGCCCACCTACCTGACTTGAGGATAGTGGACGGTCTCATCTTCAAGAGAGTCTCTTCGGAAAATCTGGATGACGAGGTGGAAGGCTTCGAATGGAAGTTGTGGATTCTCCAGAGTCTGACCCACAACATAATTGAGCGTGCACATTCAAATCCAATGGCAGCTCATGGCGGAATGGGAAATACTCTGGAAAACCTACGACGGCAGTTTTACTGGCCTGGCATGGCACTGCAAGTCCGGGAGTCCATACGCAGGTGTGAAGTGTGCAAGGAGACGAAATTCCCGAATTTCCGGATGCAAGTTGGTATCGGTGAGAGAGTCCAGACTGAGCAGTCATTTCAGAAGCTGTACATCGATTTCTTGGGGAAGTATCCGAGGTCGAAGAAGGGACAGGCCTACATCTTCATTGTGGTGGATCACTTCTCCAAATATATATTTCTGAAAGCCATGCAAGAGGCATCGGCTTCAAATGTAGTGTAGTTCCTCATTCACGAGGTTTTCTACAAGTTTGGGGTTCCAGAAATTGTGCATTCGGACAACGGCCGCCAGTTTACGTCCAAGATCTTCGAGGAGGCGATGGAAAGCTTTGGCTATTACGCACATCAAGACGCCAGTCCACTCTCCGCAAAGCAACGCAGCGGAAAGGGTAAACCAAAGCGTGTTGGCGGCGATCCGAAGCTACTTAGAAGAAGACCATCGAGAATGGGACGCGTATCTTCCGGAGATTGAGGTGGTCATCCGCAACGCGGTCCATTCAGCAACTGGAGAAGCTCCGTTCTTCACCGTATTCGGACGACACATGTTCCTGAACAAGTTGGCAAGGAAGTTGAAGTCGCTGTGTGATCACGAAATGTCTGGGATGAGAACAGCTGACAAGGTGCAGAAGAACCTCGTACTTTCCTTGCGAAGCCAGGTCAGGAAGTGTATCGCCGCAACTTTGCCCCAGCGATTTCAAAAAGGTCTTCAATGCAAAGTTTGCTCGGAAGTTCCTGAAAGCTCGGGTGGTGAAGACAGTCGGCAATAATGCGTACGAGCTTGAAGATCTTCAAGGACGACCGATCGGAGTGTACCATGCCAAGAATATTAGGTTGTGATCTGGAAAGAGAAATAACAAAGTACACGAGCTCAGCATCGGCATGTGTCTACTTCCCGTAAGGCGTGAGCCCCGCGTTGGACACCGTTGGAACTGCATCTTGGTATCGAGGCCTGCTGAATCCGAATAGTCCAAGTCCAAATGCTCCCAAGTATTCCTGAGCTTGTCTAAAACTCTGTGTTAGCGTGTCTCGGAATCCAGAGTGGTGTTGCATTTTCAGTTGAAGCCGTCTGGAAAATACTATACGAACCGATACGTCAGCAGGTCCCGCTATCGATAAGATTCGGTGGTGACTCCGACTATTGATAGCGGGAGAGGATCTAGCTATTTAAATTTAGCCCGGTTCGCTCGTTAACTGGGTTAAATAGCCTTGAATACGTTCGCTGACCCATCTTGAGAGAGCGGGAGGGAAAATGGCGAGCGACTTTGGTGTAGGTCAGGGTTTTGCTTTAGTTGCTGCAAGAAGTAGTAGGAGAACGGTCGGGAAAAAGCTTAAGACTTTAAATTCGTAATTATTATTATCAAAGTGAGTGGTTATTTATTAGTCCTGAACTTGTAAATGACAGTGTTTTTTTTTTTTAAATGTTGAAGCCGCCGGGGACCCAATCTCAAGGGCCCCGGAAATTTAAAAGATTTGGTAAGGTGAACACTTACCAGGCGGACCTAACCTGGTCGTCGTCCACCAGGCGCAGCAGAATAAGCCGCAGCAGCATCACCAGCAGCAGCGATCGGCTCCAACAGCGACAGCGATTAGTGGCATCAGCCGCAGCAGCATTAGCCGCAGCAACATTAACCGCAGCAGCAGCATTAGCCTCAGCAGTAACAGCGATCAGCAACATTAGCCGCAGCAGCATCAGCGCAGCAGCAGCAGCGATCAGCAGCAGCAGCAGCCTCCAGCGTCAGCAGCTCCAGCAACTGTCTCCGAGACGGCCAGATACGGAGATTCCCTCGGTGAGTCCGTTCCGGGAACGAATGCCCGCGCTGACCACGTGCTCATCTCTAAGTCCACCGACACACTGCCTCCGGCCCCTCTTAAGCAGACGCTGCGCTATCCTCCGAAACAATTGGCTCCGTGCGGACCGGCGCTGATTTTCGCCGCTAGCGGTTTTCTCTTCTGCAGCTTCAACCACATCCGACGTTGAACTCTGCAATAAATAAGTTTTAGTTCTTATTTTTGTGATATCATACAGTCAAGATTGTCAAGTACTCACTGTGAAATCTAATCTAAAATTAGAGGCTTAATTCCGAACCATAGCCGCGCGTTCAACTACATCTAAATTGGGTCGCGAAATTCAATGACTTATGGGATTTATTTAGCGTACTTACCTTTTCAGCACGTCCCTACTTTTCCCTTGGAGCTCCTCAGGATTAGGCGACCGGTTGGCAAACGCCTCCAATTTAGTGCCGTGCGGCGATTTTGCCAAACACTTGTAACTTTAAACGTCTAAAAATTTCCCTTCTGTTGTTGCCGCTTTGACCGCTTCTCATCTGGGCGACGGTCTGAGATCGGCCTTAAGTGTTTCCAACGAAAAGAGTAGATTATTAGTAGGAATCAATAATGAATGTATTTTATTATTAGTCTTGACCGAAATTAAATTTGAACAAGCTACCGAGATGTTTGTTTAAGTTACCTTGGGCGGGGAGATGAGCCGATCCTTATCCACCAGGAATAGACTCCGGTCTGCCGGAGATGGGGTGTGCCTCTAACATCACTTTTGGGGCACCCAAGGTTGGGTGGGTGCGTTGTGGCAAGAACATCGAAGCCACCAATTTCGTCCAATTGTCTTAGTTTTTTGATGTAAATATAACTTTGTTTTGTTTTGATTTGCGGTAGAGATGGTAAATCGTCAAGTTAGTTACGTGAGACGATGAGTCGGAATCGATTGTTCGGACTGCAGGGCATAGGGGGTACTCCACCCTGGGACTCTGTGGCTAGCCGGCGCTGCCCTCCGGGAAAGATGTAGTTCCGTAACATTTATCATAGGAATTTAGAGTTTATCATAGGAATGCACGCAGCATTAACATGTTAGGATCAGCCCCAAAGGCAATTGTAGGTAACCCAGACTTCGAGGACTGGGAACAGGTCAAATTTAAACAGAATCAATTAATTGAATCACAGACTAATCAGGTAGAAATAAATTCAAGAGTACAAACTTGTTTAAACGAATTAGGCAAAGCAAAAAACGCAATTTACAAATAGACAACAGTCGAAATAGACAAAAGCCACCTTTTTGAAATAATCTTGGTCAAAAATAGAATTATAATTAGATTCATTCGCTCCAAGACTTTAGAGTTTCACCGAAAAAACATCGGCTAAATATCCGAAAAAAAAGTCAACCGGTCAACCATCTTCGCTTGCGCTTTTTTGAAACCGGATTTTCACTTATGTTGAAAATTCCAACGGTTTTTCAGGGATGGACTGCGTGGAAAGAGGGCTGCACCGCAGAATCATCAGCTAACTATCGCATAAATTTGTTCGTCAAAGTTCGTTGAATTTTAACGGCGGACTAAGTTTGGAAGTTTTTGGAACGGCAAAACCTTGTGGACCATCCTTTCAACGGATGGTGGAAGGTGGATGGATCTCTGTGGAAATACCCTATTAGGAATGTTAATACACCATCCAAAAATGTCAGAGAAACTCTTGGCACAGCTAAATCTTACGGACCATCTGTCAAAGAGATGATGGATGCTGATCTGTGGGACTAGGCCACAAGAGACACTTAAACGTATAACGAATCACTAGTAGCTCAGTTTGTGGCAGGGAAAGTTTCATTTTCGGGAGCACAAAAACGGTTCGTTTGCGAGCATTCCGCCACACTGACATTCGGCAATGCATATGCCCGTTCAAACTTTTGAATTTAAATGGCTATTCTTAGCTTACATTTTAAAATCATATAAATTGTTTACCTAGACTGGGACCTAAGTCCGGGACCGATATAGTCACCCTATGTTTGATGTTTCAAGCATAGCTTGCAAATAACTGTCAACCGCTTTTCGCTTTACGGTCACTAACACAACCAAAAAAAAAACGTGTACATTTGCTTTTGGCTCTGAGCAGAACACTTCTCCCTTTGTTTTGATTTTCGGTTGGCTGTTGTCAGTTGAGTTGTTCTTGTTATGCTTATTTAAAAACTTATAGATACCTATGTAGGTATTCTCTAAAACAGCCATTGAGACTACCACGAAACCAATGTCCGGCTTTATGTATTTGCTCGTGCCTCTTTTTTTCCGTTATAGTGCTGTTCTGACCATAAAGAATTCCATAGATCGCAGCCTGTTTCGCGGCCATGAGCTCCAGGGGTGGGGTCCCAGCGATGATATAGGCTGCCTGGTCCGACAGCGTTCAAAACGCACTCCAAATGCGCAGGGCGGCTACTATATGGTTGGCTTTCAGAATTCGGCTGTAGCTTGGAGTCGCTATGGCCTGCTCCCAGACCTAGACGGCATTAATCATGGTTGCCCTCGTGATACTCATCAAGGGCAGCCTGCTCCATTGCTTCGGCACGAGGCTCATCATTATTCGCGTTA